TATCCCGATATCGATTTCTTTGTCGAATCTTCCAAAGCGACGCAGTGCTCCGTCGATGCTGTTGGGCCGATTGGTAGCAGCCATAACGATAACGTGAGAGCTTTGCTTCATGCCGTCCATCAAAGTTAGCAATTGGGACACGATACGTCTCTCCACCTCTCCGTGTGTCTATATTCAAAAAACGATAGCGATTATACGTAAAACTCGCGAATTAGCGAAAGCAAAGCACCAAACCTTCTCTCTCTTCGGAGCGATAGCGTCGAGTTCGTCGATAAAAATTATAGCTGGCGAGTTCTTCTCGGCTTCCTCGAACGCTTTTCGCAGGTTGCTCTCCGATTCCCCAGCGAGTTTACTCATTATTTCAGGACCTTGAGTTACAATGTTTAGAGATAAGTTACATTTAGGTTCAAAATACTATTCATAAAATGAATGTACCATTAATCCTTTGACTGCGAAGGCCTTAGATATACGCCTTCGAGAAATGGACTCGGAGAAATGTTTATATTCGTCGAGTCAATTTTTAAAAAATATAAGCTTTTAGAGGATGACGAAACGAAACTTTTTTGTATTTACAGTTTATTCGTAGGATGCTTAGTTTCAGAGATAAAAATTCAAAAGTTAAGTGTTACGGAGCGTTGGAAAAATTGAATTTCAGAAAAAAGCTCTGAAACATTCTCAATTTTTATCTCTGAAACTAAACGTCGTACGAACAAACTGTAAATATAAAAAAGTTTCGTCTCATCATCCCCTATAAGCTGATATTTTTTTCCAAATTCGATTGTTCGACTATCGTTCTTTTTTCTTTAAGACAACAGCAACAGGATCTGACTACTACGAGATCTCAGTAAAGGGATCTTCTAAATTTTGAATTTTTATTTTGGAAACTGAAAGTCTTACGAACAAACTGTAAATACAAAAACGTTTCGCCTTGTCATCCCCTATAAGGAGACATTTTTTAAAATTTCGAGAAACAAGTAATCGTCAACTAATGACGCTTTTCATTTCCCTCCATTACAAATGTAATTAAATTTCAGAAAAACGGTGTTGTAAGTTTTTAATTTTTATCTCTGAAACTAAATGTCGTATAAACAAACTGTAAATATAAAAAAGTTCCGTCATATCGTTCCCTATGAGCTAATATTTTTTTCAGATTCATACCTCTACGCCTTTTAGAATTTCTAGCAAAAATCGTCCCACGGTCAAAGGATTAACGAAGCAAGTTTACTCGTTACTAGTTTGTTACGATAACGAGTAGCGTTTAGAATTAAAATACTATTCGTAAAATGAACGTACCATTAATGAGAAAGAAGAATGCTCCAGTTTCGTTTGCCACAGCACGAGCAATAAGTGTTTTCCCTGTGCCAGGGGGGCCGTACAACAAAATACCACGCGGTGGTTTAACTCCTATAGCTTTGAATAAAGATGGGTGTCGCAAAGGTAACTCTACCATTTCCTTAATCTGAGCTAACTGCTTGCGAACACCACCAATATCGTCGTAGCCCACTGCGTTCAAGGCCTCCTCTTCCTCCTACGATGTTTACGAATGTAAGTTGCAGGATACATTAGCCGTTAGAGAAATATATTGTCACAGTACCTCTCTTTTAATAGGATCGCCTTCGCAATGAATAACTGTATCAGGAGCTACAATACAAAATGGTCCAGGATCTGTTTCAACTACTTTAAATTCTACGGCACGCATACCACCGCGTACAATGAAATTATCATCTTTATGAATGGGACGATATGCTTCCAAAAAGTATGGTTTCAAATATACTTCAAACAAGTTTCTACAACAAAAGACAAATCGCTTTATATAAGCATCTTACGATGACGAAATGAATTTCGTTAAACTGCATCGGGGCGATTGAAAATATTTATCATGGAAAAGATGATCTAGGTAACAAATACAAAGTGTGACGGTAAAATAATCGATAACTAGTAACGATAATTAACAAATTAAATACCTTCAGGTGAAACTGTAACTGTACAAAATGAAGAGGATCAAGTGATTAGTTTAATTAATTTATTTACCCTGCGAGACCGGTTATTGTGTCATCCATTGGCAGTACGTGAATACGTTTTCCATATTTAACATCCGGACAAGCGTGCACGGAGACGACATCGCTCAAACGTACGCGCAGATTGTTTCTTATGACGCGATTCATGCGAATTTTCTCATCGGGACACGTGTCGTCGGAGAGAACGATGCATACTGTTTCTTTACGCCTTTTCCCTTTTAGCAGCACCGTATCACCTCTGAAAAGCTGCAGTTCGTCCATTTTTGTTTGCGAAAGAGCAACCACAGAGTTGTCATCAGCGATTGCTTCGTCGACTAGCAACCTGTTTGGCTTGTCCTTCTTTCGAAGGATCGCTGTTGCCAAATCTTCACCACTGAAATAATAATAGTAACATAATAAATATCGAACCTCGATTTTTCTCAGAATTTGTAGAAACGTTAAATTTCATTTATTTGTGTTCTATTAAGAATAATATTTTATTATTCTGAAAATCAGATATTAACAGATCCTGTACTTTCGCAGAGTCTTAAACAAAGGCTCGTTACATCTGCGAGGAATACAAATTTGTACAAGTAATTATTTACCTGTCTCACAGATTAATTACTTTTAATATTGTCACTAATTCCTTGTAATGTTTACAATTAGCGTAACAGAGATTGAACAACATTGATCTTGGACAGACAAGACAGTGACTGGCAGGTCGTGCCATTGGGTACATAAAAATCATTTTATTATTATATAAATTTATTTAAATTAAACAGACTATTACAGGAACATTGACAGAATCAATTCTTTCTAATTCGCAGGTGAGAAATGCACAGAAAATTTTCGAGTAGACGTGTGCAATGACAGAAGTATGTTGCGTATCACGTTCTGACAACAAAGGGTTAATTTGGACATCAAAATTCCTTTATCATGTTCAACGTAGCGTTCGGCCATGATCAGTTGGCACGTACAATTTCAAAGCGACGTTCGTAATATCGGTAATTGGAAACCGAGGAACGGCAGCCCGTAAGGTGGAATCGTTTCCGATATTCAATTCCGCCGGTGTTAGTCACTTTTCGCGTGAATCTACAAAAAGACGCGTTCCGTCGACATGATGACATCGTGAAATTGGAAGCCAGCATGGATGCATTTTATTTGCATATATCGCTGTCCGGCATCCCCCGACCGATCGACCAGAAAACTTAACGAGGATAGTTTAATTAATCGGCGCTTTTTTCTCTATTTACTTACCCTTTTTGCTCACTCATTATTTACTTCACTCGAACGCAAAAGAAAATGTACACGCAACGATCACAATCCAGTATACCACCACGTACGAGTTCAGCGACACGATTGCTCACAGTACAGCTCACAGTCGATCCAATGAACATCCCTCATTTAAACTTTCATGGCTTGCATTGGACTCTCGACAAAATTAAGGCGCGTTCGCAAAGAACACGTCGGTTACAGTTTTCGAGGGAACCTATTGGTCGGTAAGGTCGTTTAGATGTTAGGTAGCAATTTTATCTCGGAGCGAATTATGTTCATGCAAATGTGTCTGTATAATTTTAAACCGGATACATAGAAATATAGAGACGGTCCTGGTCGCACATGCGCGGGTTGAAAACCTGACCGCGCAGTGCTGTACCTATAGGAAACAATGTTGGGTTCCGTAGCAATCAGGCGCCGAAATCAGGAAAACCGGGTTTTCTACATTTTTTTTTTTTGACATCCGTGTATTGTTTTCACTATTAAAACAAGTTATAATTGAAAATCCCGACCAATCAGAGTGCGAGTCCTCGTTACCGCAGGCGCTCCACCAGCATCCTCGCGCTCTGATTGGTCGCGGAGCGTGGCCGCCTAGCGCGTAGTTCGTTACCGCGGGCGCTCCAATGGCATCCGCGCGCTCTGATTGGTCGGGGAGCGCGGCCGCCTCGCACTCTGATTGATCGGGGTTTTCTGTTAATATCTTCTTAGCGAAACCTCGGACAACATTTTCGCTAAGGAAAAAGTTGTTCAAAATCACTCCACAAACCACCCGTTTCAAGGACCTAGGACACCCTCTATATTAATCGAATGTCTGATCAAAGAGTTAGTTATTTACTTGGGTGAAGATACATGTAAATTATACATGTCGCGCGCACTCCTAAATGGCGTTGTTTGAGGTACTAAAACTTCCCCCCAGTGATGGACATTCGTGGGATTTTTCCTGATCATGCGCATTGGAGCAAGCGTTGGAGTCCTCATTGCTGTATATACTTACTTAAAATTTAAGGTACCATTAGATCCCAGTAAGGAATAAAATATAATGATCGTGCGTCTACACGACGGCATCCGAAACGACGAGTAGGCTAGTAAGGGTTGCCGCATAACAGGGGCAACTCTGCGCAATGCTAGATGGCGCTACCACCCCGGATGCCGCTAGATGGCGCTAGAAACGAAAGTTTAGTAACTTATTACTAGTAACTTATTACTAAATTAAATAACTATTTATACAAAATATAAGTTTGACACACCCTCTGACATCTCGTAACAACCTCTAATATCTATTAACATCTCCTAAGACCTCTAAACAACTTCTAACACGTTTTCGGCAACTTGTACTAGCCTGTTTGTCTATTCGGTTGTCATCTCTTCCATATACTCTATGGTTGAAGGTTCAGGCCCTTATTCGAAGCAGTGTTGCCAGATTTGGCTCCCAGTCGCGCATGCGCACTGGTTTCAGCGTCAATGAAGTATCAAAAACAACCATAAAACTGGCGCCCTTAGTCGTCCCAAAGGAAAATGGAATTATAAATGAAAATTTTACTTATTTCTTAGCATGGAATAATATTAATTGAGTGGATAAATTATAACACAGGGATAGAGATTGAAATAATTTACAGACAAAACACATTTTTTTAGAATTCAAATATCGATTTTCCTGGTTTTCACGTCAACCGTTTCTATGGGATCATACGTTGTTTCCTATAGCTACCTCATAGCTACAGCACTGTGCGCAATGCACTTGAAGTCAATCGTATTGCGTAGTTTCGTTTCGAATCGCTTTTGTTTGTTGACACGTGTGGCACGGGACGTGCTGGGACAGTATTCAACAGTATCATTTCGAAAACGCAGTCAACGAGGAAACACTGTAAGTACCTTTCGCTTACTAACCTTGTTTTTCTGATTACACGTGCCAGCATTCACAAAATTGGTATAAATACAAATGCGTTGTGTATTTCAAATATTTTTTACTATTTCAAATATTTTTTTACTATTATTAAATTGCAACATGTGAAATGCACGATATTTAATGATAATTCTTTTAAATATACTTTCTAAAGAAAATTTTCATTTTTCATTATTTACTTGTTTTACCTATTTCGATTATTAATGCATAACGTGAAAGAAGTTACATTTATTTCAAGTCGTGATTATCAATCATGAATATGTAAGAACCTAATACAACAACGTAATACATAATGTAAAACATGAAGTTCAATATCCTCTTCTTTTATTTCGACTCGCCTCACTTTTACAATAAGTATATTAGTTTTTTCTATTTGTTAGATGTCTGAAGCAGAAAATACGGGACTGGCCAGTCCAAGGGAGGAGGAGAGGGAGTCCCAGTCCCAATCTCGGGGCGAACGGGAGCCTCGGTCCAGGAGCGTATCGCCACATACGTCCAAGGGCGAATCGCGACATTCGTCCAGGAGCGTATCGTGGTATCAGTCCCGGAGCGACTGGCAACTTTGCCGTAGGCGCGACACAGAGCAAGAGCTGAAGAGACAACTAAAGGAGGCAGACGAAGTACTGAAGAGACTAATAAGGGAGGTATGTAATACATTCTTCTTTGTAAAATGTTCCAAAGAGGAAACGAGACAAACATAACGGAAAACACTGACCAATCAGAGCGCGAAGCGCGGGCGCTCTGATTGGTCGAGGGGCACGGCCGCCTCGCGCTCTGATTGGTCGAGGTTTTCCGTTAATATCTCGGCAATGAAGCGTCGTACAACATTTTCGCTAAGGAAAATGTTGTTTCAAATCACCTCCCGAACTACCCCTTTCAATGACCTCCAACCTTTTTCGAACACCCTGTATATGTCCACGTCCATGCACACGTGATCACTATAACTACACATTTCTTATATTCTTCTTCTCATAATAATTATATGCAATAATCAAAATAACGTTTTTGTTTTATTGCCCGTGGAGCAGAACAGCTACCTGAAAAGAAGATTGCGACAGGCGATATATTATTATGGCAGAGGAGGAAGAGGCGGAAGAGGAGGGGGAGCGACGAGAAATGTTTACATTTATTTTAGAAATAGATGAAATATTATCTAAATAAATATATTTTTTTAATATACTTTAATCTCTTTGTAGTTGCGCACCCTTCTCATCCCTTCAATTCCATGAAAGTATTTAAAAATTCTACTTTAGTACATTTTTTATTTTTATTTATTTATTCTTTGAATATATATTCAGTTAATTACGCAGTTGTTACATATTATTTTTAAAAAAAAACTTCGAAATTCAGTGTAACAATAAATAAAACATTTGAATTCTTTGTATGTGTTACATAAAAACGTTACTTTAGTAAATGCGTACAGTTCCTAGTCAATGCATAGTAATTTGGTCCCTCAAAATAAAGTCCAGCAGTAAAAAAACAAAATTAAGTGTTCCAACAGTTGAAATGGTCGACAATTTATGTTATTCTAGATCGATTCAGCTCAGAAAACAAATTGTCGATAGTTAGAATCAAGTATCGATAGTGAACAACAATCGATACTCTCGACTCTCGAAAGTACTATCGATAGTTGTCCACCACTACGTCAACAACAGCCCATGGCAGATTTTGGTATATAGCACGTGGTCGATATGTAATAATTTAATAAATCACAAATACGTATCTCTAAGTATTAATCTATAAACAACAAAACCAACAAAACAAAAACACTTACAATAATCGTGTGCAAATATATACATAGTAAACAAATATAAACAATGGAAGTGCTAAATGATCCAATCGACCAAAAGGCAATGGTATTATGCTGCATTTGTGGCCTTGGTATAGAACCAAATCCAGCCAATATGTGCGTGGCATGTTTGCGTACTCAAATTGACATTACAGAAAACATTCCAAAACAAGCTACGGTTCAATTTTGTAAGGGCTGCGAAAGGTACCTGCAGCCACCTGCGGAATGGGTTCATGCATCCTTGGAGTCAAAGGAGTTGCTGACGCTGTGCCTGAAAAAATTAAAAGGCCTGAATCGTGTGAAATTAGTCGATGCTGGATTCGTATGGACAGAGCCTCATTCGATGAGGTTGAAGGTGAAGCTAACAGTCCAAGCAGAGGTAATGAGCGGAGCAGTTTTGCAGCAAGTATTCGTAGTCGAATACGTTGTAAACACGCATATGTGCGATGACTGCCATAGAATAGAGGCAAAAGATTATTGGCGTACTTTGGTACAAGTACGACAACGGTCGATGAATAGAAAGACGCTTTACTACTTGGAGCAGTTAATTCTAAAATACAAAGCGCACGAACAAACTTTAGGCATAAAACCTATTCACGAGGGCTTGGACTTTTTCTTTGCCAACGAAGCAGCTGCAAGGAAATTGGTCGACTTCCTTACGAGCGTAGTACCGTGCCATTACAGTCATTCGAAAAAATTGATTTCGCACGATATACATAGCAATATCTACAATTACAAATTTACGTACTTTGTAGAAATAGTTCCTGTATCGAGGGACAGCGTAGTGTGTCTTCCAAGAAAGTTGAGCCATCAGTTAGGAGGAATCAATCCCATTTGCTTGGTGTACAAGATCACAAACTCTGTTCATTTGATAGACGTATCCAGCGGACAAGTTGCAGAAGTGAGTCCCACTGTCTACTGGAGGCACACGTTTAACAGTATTTGCGATCCGAAACAGTTGATTGAGTATACAGTGATGGATATCGAACCACAGATGTTCAAGGATAGGAAATTCTTTCCAGGACAAGGAACGATATCCCACAAGCACACTATAGCGGATGTTTGGCTGGTTAAAAGTAGCGAGTTGGGAATTAATGATAATTTAATTCATACACGTACTCACCTTGGTCAGATATTGAAGCCAGGTGACACTGCTCTAGGCTATGCTCTCAATGATAGCAACATCAACAACGAAAATTTCGAGATGTTGAATAAGGATTCTGTGCCGGATGTGATTTTAGTGAAGAAGAATTATACGCACGACAGAATTGCTCGGCGCAAAATGAGAGCGTGGAAACTGAAACACATGATAAACGATGAAGACAACACGACTGCTGATAATAATGAGTACTATGAATTTTTGGAAGAAATTGAGGAAGACCCAGAAATGAGAAGAAATATAAATATCTTCAGGGATCATATGAAAACAATTCCAGTGAATACTGGCGAAGATCCTGGTTGTCCGCAAGTCACCCTTGAGGAAATGCTTGACGATCTTACCATAGATGATACAGTGGAGGTATCGATGACCTTGTAGTGGGAGCTTTTAATAAAAACAATGATGTACCGCATGTTTACTGTGATTATTCGATACAATTTCATAATATTGGTGATTATTTAAAATATGTCATTGTTACGCCGTCTATGAACATGGAAATAAACATAACAGCAATTTATTTAATTTTATGGCAATTATCATACACGATTTATTACAATTTATCACAAAATCTTGTCACTCCATTTTCACTCTTTGATTATCGCTATTATCGCAACATCGCAGGAACATGTAATAGTAAAGCAGCCAAGTATAACTCACTCCGATCGAGCAATATACGGATGTAAGGGCTAAAGGCAGAAATGGTAGTTGATCGGCAAATATTAACTTGTGAAGTATAGTCTCGTAGATTGTTAACAACGGTAGACTAACAACGTACGCGTACTCGTGAGGATAAAGCAAACGTTGCTTGAATTTTCGAGAGAAAACTAGGAAAGATGCGAGCATATATGTCAGGAGTAATAGTATTTTTAATGGTGTTAAATTGTTTGGGTAAAGTAATGGTAGAAGTGCGGTGTGCCCAGCACTGCTTAGAATTAAGAAGATTCTGGCATCGTTTTTGTCTGTCGCAGCCAAGATACTGAAACCGATACAAGTATTAGTCATGGATTACTTAATTTTTCAATAATATTACTTATATATTAATTCATTTCTCACCACAGTGGAACAATAGCAGTCAGAATAGCTTTCTCGTGTACGTGCCAGCCGAACATGAAGGAGCACAAGGCACAGAGAACTAAGCAACGTACAAACTGCTTTGGATTTGTGGCGCAGTGTTTTTTGAAGAATAGACAGTACAATGCAGGCTATAATTTATACATTTGTATACATTGATAATGTTTTATATAAAAATCGACGTACTTACCAACATTGAGAAAAGGGTTAATAAGAATGTTACGGGTGGAGTAGGCGTTGGTAATATAGTAAACGACTGTTCTTGTACCAAACCACCGGTCATTACTGCCACTTTGGTAAATTTCAGCCAACCTAATCGTTTTAAAATTATCGATGCCACTTTGTCCACACTTATGTACAGTGGCCAAGCGTTTGCAGCCCAGTATGCATGTACCAGGCCTCTTTTAAATGGAAACAGCCTCGATAATACCTAAAAAAAAAGTTACAGTTAGTCACAAAACAAAATAAGGAATGATCTATTACCACACCTGAGGTAATTGAGATGCGAATGGGCCAAACGAAACCATCAAGGTACCCATGGCTATACTCCCAAGTAGAAACAGACGCTTAAAGAAGTGACCGGTGTTCATGCAGTACGATCTGAGCAGCCAGATTACAAAAGCTGGCGTCACGTATAAATAAATATGCTTCAAGTTTAACAACAGCGCAAACCACAGAGTTCCTCGCAAGACAGACATCTGTAAAGTATTCGGTTTAATTTCGATCGCATGGCAAAGCAACGTCTTCGATTTACTTGACTGTTTATTTTGGAGACATTTGCGATCGCCAATAGTAAAATACCAAGTAGAAATCCGTTGTATTGAAAATGTATATGATCCACCACTAACAATCCCATGTTGCATAACGATAAAATTGCGAAAATAGCGTAGCTATCCCATGATTCGCAGAAAACTTTTCCCACTCTGAAACACAAGCGGTGAGAAATATTTAACCATTGAATTAAACAGTATCTACATCTATGCTACTTACTCTCTTATTCCATAAGCGTATACCAAGTCCAAAAGTATTACGGAACCTCTTTGAAAGTAGATAGTATCCGACGAAGCATAGTTCAGGTTCTCTACTTTGACCATTTCAGGATTGACAACTTCCGCAGCATGACTGAGAATGTATTCGAACCAGGCGAATAGTGGAGGATAATCCAAAGTCCACTGGGACCTGTTGTCGATGTACCATTCCTTCATTGGTAAGCTGTGCGTTATGGACAACCAGTTGCGATGCACTTCGAAATCTGTGGAATGACTAGAAACGGAGTGATCTAATAGAATGTAACACATTGTACATAACCTACAATCTTGAAAGTAAAAATTGTATATGTAAAACATTGTATCGTGTAAGAAGAAACATACTATGTGGGAATTAAAAGTACTTTGAGGCACGTGATCAGGATGAAGACGTGTAAAACGATTCCGTTCGCGTTCCATTTCACGGATGTTGAATCCATTTTCTCTCTCTTTTTCAATCCTGACATGGTTTCTTTATCTGCTGGATTCATTGCATTATTCTATCATTTCACTTGACACGTTTGAAACGCTTTGGTGCCAACGAGGCTTCTGTTTACTTCTTCCCCACTCTTATTTGTAATTTAGCTAGGCGAGAGCAGGTGGCGTCAACGTGGACGTCACTCATACTAATACTGTCAATACTATAGTATACTAATAGCATTAGTAATATTATAGAGAAAATAGAATATAGATTTATACTAATACCAATATTGAGCAACATTAAGTATTAGTATCAAGTAATACTAGTTATTATTAATACTCTTAATACTAGTACTGACTACTACTAGCATTAAAATAATATACTATACTATACTACTTTAATTTTAATAATACTACTAACTTACTTACTACAAATACTTAATAGTAATTAGTACTAGTATCAGTGTAGTTTTATATTCTATGTTCTTAACACTACACAGAGAATAAAATCAAGAACTATACTAATACTAGTATTAAATAATACTACTATAAAGAGCATATAGAACTAGAACCAATACTAGTAGAATAATACTGGCATCGGTATAGTTGAAAATAAAATAACGCTCGTATCGCTGCACGTTTTCTACAAAAAATAGTTTTATTGTTACTTTTACTTTATAACATCGAGATGTTATTAAATATCAGTATTCTTTAATTTCCGCTATTTTACAATGCGATACATACGCACGTACAAAAGAACAAAAAGATTTGTATTCTTGTTAATCGGCGTTTGTTATCGAATCAAGAACGAACAACGTTTGGAAAAATATAATAGAAATAATAATTTATAAAACAGAAAAATTCCAGCTTAATAAAGGGCCTGAGATTAATCGAATATTCGGATGGGCAAATACTACTGTCATTGTTTTAATATTAAAAACAAAATTGACAAAGAAATAAATGGATTTCACACGTTCACTGTCAGATTGATACGTGAAAATTCCTTTGAGGCTCAAATGTTTTTACATTTGCGGTAATACTTATTTTTGCAACTTCTTCCAAATTTACCAAATTTACCAAACCTATCCAGATTTATCTTTTTTAATCCATCACCTTTTGAATTAATTTAGTTAATTCCTCGATGAAAATTCTTCTACTTGCTTTCCACTAAGGAAATTAAGAAAATTAATTGCGAAGCATCGAAGGAAATAAATTTAAATAAGAATTCATGAGTTTCGATGAAGTTACAGAAACAAGTACCCCGATGAATGCTTAATTATGCGCTTTCCAATAGTATGCAACTGATATTTAATCGTAAATAATTTACAAAATATTTGAATTACTGTTTGAAACATTGAAATACAGAAAGAATTCGACCAATCCCAGCCCCGCTTAGATACCAAAAGTATAAGAACATTTTCTAACGTGTGTAACTAGGAGAAGTGGCTTCCTCAACGTTACCGCGGACTTTGAATGAACGTTACCGTGATATGTACACATCAGTCGGACGCAGTAATCAACGACTGCGCATCTAGCAAGCTTTCCGTAGCCAGAATAGAGCTGTTCATGATGGGAGTGCTCACTGCGTCCCCGGACTTTTTATTCGAGAACGGATAAAAGCTGTCGATGTTCATCTGAACGGAATAGCTGTTCGACTTGTCGACCAGTGAACCACAGGCGCCGTTCACGCACATCTTCAACTGGTTCACGTCGTTTCGCAGCAACCTGGAGTAAAGCTCTATGTGATTCTGTCCACCGTTACGGATCTCCAAAGCGGGAATCCAGCGGAAGTAACACTGCGTCCATAGCTCTAAGCTAGGGATGTTATACAGGGGCTTTATTATGCTCTTCTCCGTTGAGTTTGTATCGCGGAAATTGTAGAGGGGATTGTAAAACAATAAGATGTCCTGTTCGCTGAATTGTTCCCTCCAGTCCCACACGCTTCGAAGAACGAGAGGTTTACTTGGTTCCTAGAAAATATAGACTTTTAGAGTTATAGGGTTCTTGCGAGAAGAATGCAAAAGAATCATTGACTTCGTTGAAACTTTTTATATACTGGCAGATTTTTGCGGTCTGTTTATATGGTATTACTGAGGCAGGATTATGGCAGGCTTAGAATGTAGTGGAATATTGCAATATATTGGGATATATTGAAATATTGCTATTTAAAAAGAGAAGAAACATATCATAAAATAATACAGTTTAAGAAGAAGAATATTGTGATGTCTTGAAATATGCTGGAATATTTCAATATATTAGAATTAAAAAAGAATAAATATAAAATAATACAACCTAACCTAAAATAATATAATTTAAAAAGAAGAGAACCCCAATATATATTGAAATATTGCAATTTAAAATGAAAATACATCGATCATAAATATGTAAAAAAGAAAAGTATCGAGCTCCTGCTCCTACAATACCATATTTATCGTAATCGGGACGACAAAATCTACCACTATACAAAGTTTCAACTGAATGACCCAAAGGTCTTGCGGTCTCCTTCCAGATGTTCACTAAATAAAAACATAATACAAATATCCGAGGAAACGTACCATAGCTGCCGCCACCCGATCTTTCTCGCAATTAAAAATAAACGTATCGAAAATGGAAACGTGCGCAGCATCCCACACCGTCGTCAGGTACGTTTCCGTGAACTCGAATTGTCCAGGAAATTGTTGGGTTAGTTGCCAGACACAGTCTAAATATAAAAGCAATAGCGGAGCCTGTTGAAATAACCGAATTTTAGAGATCAAGCCTGCGGAAAGCGAACGTTACTTGTAATTCAAGTTGAACCCGCCTTCTCAGACTTCCTCTTGCCAATATGACCTAATCTATCACAAAATGGATGCCCGCCAGCCACCCATTCCTTTTGCATGAGCGACTGGAACCCGTTTATGGTACGAAAGTAAGGGTCCAATAACAGCTGAACTAAGCTCGATACGATGCAACAAATATCTGTGCCAGCACCTTCTGAAAATTCATTCATTTAGTACGATAACCAAACAAATAAAGATAATTCGAAACCATTAACAACTCGATCACCTTGTAAAATAACGGATTTTCCTTCGTCAAGTTTTTCGCAGGCTTTGACAGCTTTTTCCAAGCAGTACGACACACACTTCAACCATTTAGTATTCTCTACTAATGAATAAAAATTATTATCTTGCAGCCAGAATTGCCTGATGTTCTCTGAAACGAATAAAGTCTGTAAGATATTTCTTAGATATAACCTCAAACATTTATACTCTATACTGTAAAACCTCTGTTATGCGAACAATATTCATTCGACCTGAAGGGTCTGTTGTTTGCATTTACTTCAAATAGTTTTTAGTATGACATCACCGTAAGCAGATTCGGTTAATAAATACTATGTTTAGATACGTACAAACATACAACGCAAGAGAAATATTTAGAATAAAATTTACCTGGAGAGCAAAGATTGGCGAATTTCGCGAAGGCTACAGCTATAAACTTTACGTTAACGTCTTTATTTAACTCTAAAACAACTAGTTCTTTTTGCCGAGGATGACTCTTGCGAACGTTCTCGAACATGATATTCTCCTGCGTTCTCTTAGCCAACAACGAAAGCTCGGACGTTTTAACTAACGCCGCGCCGTTTGTGCTCGACCAAGACCAGATTGGTGGACGGTTGCCTTGGAAGTGCTTAGCTGCGTCCATTAATTGACTGTCGGTTACGGACGCTGGGACTATTATGTATCGCGATAAACTGTAAACGAATTCGTTATTTTCTCACAGTTTCGTTCGAATCACAGACAGAGATTTAAATGGTACGTAGCATTTACCTACGACAGAGCTTGAAGTCTACGTTAGCTGTAGATAATCTCCAAAATTGTCTAAACTTCTCGTTGCTTATGGTTCTTTCTAGTTCGTTAATCCAGTCAGATATGTCTCGAAATAAGCGAATCGCGTTATTCAGACTGCTATAGTACGCTTCTCTGAAATACAAAGAGACAAATTAGTTTCAGGTACCCCGAATACCAGTTTTGTACATCATACTGTATATCAACCTGTAATCGTAAGCGAATAATCTGTAGTGTCTGCTGGGAAAAGCGTAATGCAACAGCGCCCTCAGTAGATTGTGTCCCTCTTTGATGGGCGAAAATTTAAAAGAAAAAGACCACGTTCGTAAATTCTAAAATCCATATACACTTTTAGTAACGCATCGCGCAGGTGTCTATATTCCCAATAATATACACGTGAATAATTACTTTACAAATAATAAATATCCCTTTTACTTTAGATGGTACGGTATTGCCAGGTACCAGTCTTCTTTTCTTATCGCCTACTGTTATATAAATATCTTCGATATTCGTCAAACATGTATCCATGTATCCGTACAGATGATTTTGCTGACGAGCCACATCCTGTACGTACAAAAATATTTAGATCCGTTCGATATCGCGCGGAGTACATGTAACGTTTACTCACCTCTCCGCTCGTATCTTCGGTCGTGATAAATGTGAGCTTAAAATTCGTGACTGATAGAATACCGGACGTCCCTTGCTTCAAATTGCTGACAGGCGAGAACATAAGAACGCTTTGCGCATCAGTGACTAAAATCTCACCGGGTAATAACTTGATATTGTTTTCGGATACAGAATTACGTCGACTAGAACCTAGTGGCTACATACAATTTAAAAAAACATCATTGTAGAGAAAGATGCGAGGGGAGACGCGAACTGAGATCATAGCCGGAAACAAGTAAATTCTGTTTTGGTACAATTTAAAATCGACCGTTGGTAATATAAAATATGTATCGATAAGTAATTTAAAGTAATATTAAATTTATATGCATCTAACGCATCGTATTTTCTATGTAGACAAAATATTTCCTCTGCGAGTATGTAATACAGAGTACTGCGTTATCGTCAGTGATGGGCGAAACCATAGGCTTCGAATAAATCTGAGGTCTGCCGATACGTTTGTCTCGTTTCTTCTGTGGAACATATTCCAAACTTCAGATTTATTTGAAGTCTAGGGGTTTGACCATCACTGCTTATCGTTTTATCCAGGTGTGTAGTTAGAATAGAGGTTATGTCTCAATGTTTACATAGGAATTACCTTCATCTCGTGTTCCTCGAGGCCCACGTAACTTATGAAATTGTTGCAGCTTTTGCTTTCCATCGGGAACGTTTGAATGATTGCCGTCGAACGCGTCGAACCAAAACCATAGAAATAATATACCTCGGCGCTCGTAACTCGGCTCAATTTCCTGTTCGATTCATTCTCGCACGATCGTCGGTTACTTATCGCGAGTCGAAGGGTCAGGGCATTTTCGAGTCACGATAAAGCTCACTTCCTTGCCGTGATTGCGATCTCTCCCCTCGTTGAATTCATCCTGAGCGATTTCTCTACGTCTCCTTCCTCGTTCGTAGCTGTCGTGGCCGTGCTCTGTTTGTGTTCATTGCTAGACCTTGAGGTTCGTTCGTCCGCATTCGACACTGTGTAACGTGAATATTATTGTTCGTGGAACGGGAGAATTTTCGTCCGCGTTACACAGACTGCAATTAAATTGATATTTACGAAGGATTCGGGCTGAATAAATCCGATATATTTTTTTTTAATAAGAAGAAAATATGGATCACTATTTACGCATAACTCGGATTTCTCGCGACTGCGGGACGTGCGAAGGGCTCTCTCTGCGAGTTCGACCGAAAACAGGAATTTTTTATTAGTAATTTACGTTGCACTTTGGAAATTATTCGTGTTATAACGAATTGGAAATGATTACTGTGCGGTAAACACCGCCGCCATCTTGGAGGGAGTCTTGAAGCGACGCCTGATTGGCTGAATCTCGCGACGCGCTCCCATTGGTTCCCCATTGGAAAAGCTAACAGTACTGTATCTATAAGAAACACAGCCCTATTTGCACATAAAAAAAGTAATTTTAAATTATTTAAATTGAAAAAGCACCTATAACTTTGCAACGTACCACTATTTCTTTTCTTTCTTTTCATTCTTTTTCTGTTTTAAATCGGAAAATGATACAATTTCTGTTGTGTATTGTAATTTTAGTAATTTGTATACGTGTGGCAACGATATTGACGACCATTAATATTGTATATTAAATTTCACGTTTTACAAGGTTCGCTTAGTAAATAAAATATATTTCTGTATTATTGTAATTATAATATACAGAATGTCCTAGAATTAAGAAAAACAACCGACCAATCACAGCGCCAGAGTAGCATGGGCTCTTAGATGCCCCAAAAAATGATGGATGTAAAGAAGATAAAAAAAAAGATAAGAACTGCATGATTTAATAGTTAAAGAAAGATGTTGGAGTAGAACAGAGATATTATTTTTTAGAATTACTTTTGATAATTGTATAAATTTGATTGGTTGAATCTAAAGACGCGTTGCGATTGGTCCGTTCCTCAACGCGCGTTGCTTCGAACTCACGTGTGCGCACTACATCGAGCGCCGGGAAAATACCTAGTACGAGCACAAACTGGCGCCTTGGTCGCCCCAAGGAACGTTGGATGTAAAAAGAATTGTAATCGCCCATCGTTGATTAGGTTTACTGCAAGATTTAATAGTTAGAATAAGAAAGATATTGAAGTAGAACAGAGATATTGTTTTTTAGAATTATTTCTGATAATTTCATAAATCTGATATTTGACTTGAACTTGAACTAGTAGTGGTAGAGAAGAAAACACGAAATTTGGAAAAGTACAAATAATAAATAATTATTAAATAATGCCAAAAATAATCATTCGCTTATAAAGTATGCTACCAATGTCTGTGTACAAATACAATAAAATTCTTTCATTTTAATCCCTACATAACACTGTAATTATTATTATTTTAATAATTAAGTAACGACGCTCAAGTTCGAACCGTGCCTCCTATCTTCCAAATGTGCCCCAGCAATTTCTGAAAATTCTTCTCTTTGGAGAAGATTATAAGCAAGGGAAAGCATATTCAACGCTTTGTTATGAACAAAAGGAAGACCGCTGGAAAATAAATCGTGACCCAATTCCAAGCACGTGCCAAAATCATACTCGTCAGCTGCGATCGTTGCCAATCTTATTACTTCCTCTATCTTCGATATCGATATCTTCTTTGCTTCAGATGTTGAAGCATTCTCTATCTGTTCCAATATTTGTTTCAATTCATCTATAATGTGCAGAATTAATCGAATCGTAATTACAAAGGAACATTTTCGATGCTTTCTTTACAGTAAATTAAATGAAATTCTTTCTTAATACAAAGTTTCTTTTTTCCAGAACTAGTAGATCGCAATTCAGTGCTTCAAAGCTAATTGTAAACAGAATTTCATAATAATAACTTACGATCAGTCACTGCCAACTTTCTGTACCCCACTTCAGTCTTCCTATCATATGGAACCACAATACCAGCCTTATGGAAAGTCTTCGCGACAACCTTCTTTTCTCTAGCCTGCATATTACTCGTCTGCTTGTCCAATGCTATATTCTTTTCTCTGGCGTACCTCTTTAGTTTTTGCTGCAGCAGTGTTATGCTCATCTTCTTAAATGGATTGGCCTGTTTCAGTTTTTCTGCTATAAACCAGCTGTAATATAAGTTGCAAATTACAAATGCATACAAAAATTTTGTACAAAATTTTTGAGGACTTATGTACTTACTCCAGCATCCCAAATAAATTTTCTGCGACAGGTGCAATTGTGCAATTTACATTTTCTTTGTTCATAGCTACGAATACAGGCATCTTGGAGGGTTCATCCCTCCAGTAACCGAAATGCAGTCCATCTTTATCGTCGACTTTGACAACAGTCTGCAAGAAATGATGCGAATGATACATATTATTTAAATGGCAAAGGAAAGAATTATCTTACTTGAAATTCAGGTGGGTCGTAATAATATCTCCAATGCCTCAGCAGTGTCTTCTTGTCGCAAACTTTAAGATTGAAAAATTTCTTTTCGAAAACATCGTAAGGACCCACGAGTTGCAAGTGAATATCCTTCAACGCGTTCAATGGATCGTCTTTGGAAATGCTCTGAAGAAATTCAAAAAACTGAAAAAAATCTTCTGGCATTTCGGTTAGAAACAGATGGGAAATAACTGTTTGCGCATCGGGTGGAAGTAATGTGCCACTTTCGATGTTAACATTGCAATCTTTTAATAATGATGCTATGGTAATGCAATCGATCGAACTTTTTATAGATTCTAGCGCTTGGGTACTTGATTCATCTTCTACGATTTCGCTATTTTCTTTATCGTTATTCACGGTATTGTTAGCAGTATGTTCTATGTCTTTGTCGGCTGAGCTTTCATCGATTGTGCTATCGCATCTCTTTTGAAATTTTTTCTCTGGAGAAGGACTCGTTCCATTCTCGCTTCTTTCTTTCCTCTTACTTGGCTCTTTTCTTTTTTGTGTGCGTTTTACAATCTTCTGCTGAAAGTTTTCAAAGCATTAAAGAGGAAACTCTAAACTATAACGTTGCAAATGAGATAGGAATATGAATTCGTACTGTGTCTTTCGCAGGTGGATGTTTGTACGTTTTGTGATGAATAGGATTCTTCTGATAACACTTGACTCCGAATCGACAGGGAATACGTGGATCTTCTTGATAAGCTTTGTACTGTTCTTGCTCGCTATCCATTTTTTTTATTAGATTTCGCAGGCAACGACGTGAAATAAAAGTAATAGGTTATGGGAAAAGAAATGAAACTTCTCTCATAGCATCGTTATTCAAAATACGTATCGATGATCGTAATAGTACCACGAACGAGATAACGTGAAATATAAATGTAGTGGAATGTATAATTATACAAGTGTATCTTCCGTTTACATGGATTTATCAAAGAAAAGGTTAGGTACAAAATAGTAGGTGAAGGAAGGCTACCACTCACGGAGCCGCTCAGTGAGCTGCTGAGCTAGTAACAGTAAGCCTCAATTTTCATCAACACCTCAAGATGGCGCCACTAGGTAATGAAAAGTAATTATTGTTAAACTAAATAAACATTCATTGCAATGGAAAATTTGGCATAAATACTGATATATTGTAGCGATATGGACCTTAGAATCGTGTGAATTATGCGTTTATAACAAAATAAAGGTTAATTTATTTAAAGCTTCCGTGGCGCCATCTAGCGGTGAAACGCTCAGGCTTATTTTCACTACATATTTGGGCGTTTTCCCGTCGACGGCGCCACTGGTTTCAAAACCCGCTCACTGAGCTGCAAAGTGAGCGGTGACTTTCTTGGATGCACACGCTCTGTCTGATGTATATTTTGATTTTTTTCGATACATAATAAAGTCGCGTAGCCGCATAGTTTGACAGGTTTCACCCGCTGTAGGATAACACACGTATCGAGGACAGAGAGCGAGCCCTTCAAATCGGATAATTTTATTATGGAGACCGACAGGCGATCGGATTTGTACGACGAATGGAAAAGACGGGTAAATTGTACAATTCACGATGACTATGTCACAATTCACGATAGCACATGCCGCAAATTATTGAAATTTCATTTGGGCCTAAACGAGTGCAACGTTACTCGAATTATCTATTAATTATTTACCAGACTTCTTAAATATATATATATATATATATATATATTATAATATTAACTGAATTACCACAATTCTTTCTTATCACAACTACAGTCAATGATTAACTTAAGACGTAAAATAATTGCGTAAAAAGAATTCGGTTTACTTTGCAGGCCTTCCTGGGTCCGCTTCCACAAGGATTCCTGGGTGTAGAAGAGCGCAATGCCCAACAGCAACAGGAAGCAGCGGATCAGCAAGCTGCGCTTGCCCTCCATCAACTGCAGATGCAAAGCATGCCAGGAATGCACGAACAGCACGTCGGCAGACTTAGTATAACAATCGCTCAGGTACGTTTGACGCTTCCATCCTCGTGTATGCGTTCAAGTTTAGTTTCACAGAGCAATGTTACTTGTATTTTGTAATAACATTCTATTCGTAATTTCAAAAAGACACTTCCTATAGGCTAAACTAGTGAAAAACTATGGAATGACAAGGATGGATCCTTACGTAAGGATGAGAGTGGGCCACGCAATTTACGAGACACACACATGCTCTAATGGAGCAAAGAATCCGCATTGGAACAAAGTCATCCAATGGTATACATTTTAAATAATAAAAAGATACACGTCGTATATCATATATATCTTCGAACATGTTTAATTATCGTGCATATTTCTTTATTATTTCAGCTATCTGCCACCAGGAGTTACGCAGATATATGTTGAAATTTACGACGAGTGTTCTTTTGTGATGGACGAGTTAATCGCATGGGGCCACATAGATATCCCACCTCAAGTTCTTCAAAAAGGAGAAACACACGAAGATTGGTACATGCTCAGTGGGAAACAGGGAGACAATCAAGAAGGGATGATAAATCTAGTTTTTAGTTACACGGTAAAGGTTGTTGATGACACATTACACAGAGACGCTATGTACTTTGTTAATATTTCATCCATGGAACTGATTGTACAATATTGTTATAGACAAAGTGCCATCCATACATGAGTGCACCCCCAGTCATGATGGTTCCCTCTTCAACAATGTTTGGTGCAGCGCCATATGCACCAGTGAATGTCTACACAGCACCACCTGCAGCTGCGGTACCTCCTATTCCCAGTTCTATGCCAAACGCTGAGGTCGAATTAAAACAGGTAACGTACAAAATTCTTGTTATTAAACTGGGGATGTATATACATTTACAGGAAATTCGAATGAAATGCACACAGTATGCAAGAGTATAAAACAATATCGAAGGTAAAGTTTATGTTATAATACTTCCAGAGCAAAATAGATTCCTATTCAGGTTCAATTTTTGTATATTCGTCTGCAAAGATTTTATTTTGCGTAAAAATCCCCGGTTCACTTATGCATACAGTATTTAAAAAACATTTCGTATCGATTGCAAGTATACTATTTTTCGTTTGCAGATCTCCGAAATGTTTCCAAACGTGGACAAGGAGGTGATCAGATCAGTCTACGACGCGAATCATGGAAAAAAAGACGTGACCATAAATTCGCTACTTCAAATGTGCGAATAAGCGATCTTTTTTTTTATAAATTATCATATTTAATTCCAAAGGCCGTATTTGTATTTTCCGCTATGCTGTATTTCTTTCGAAGTGTAATATATCTGCGAACTGTCGCCATGCATTTTATGGTATTTTAATATTTGGGAACTCCGACGAGGAAGATCCACGAAAACGTATTCGGGCAGGGAAATATATATATTTTCTAAGAAAAAAAAAGAAAAAAAAATATATCACTTCGATGTTTCGTGTATTTATTGATCCTTTACGTCTTTGTGATACGCAGGATGTTCTGCGTAGATCATTGGAGTTAATTAGGTTCGCGTGTAAAATTAAAAAAATATATTTAATATATTATTATATTAAAATAATATATTATAATAAAACGTTTATCGATGTGTCACGTTAATAATTAAAATTGTTACAAAATTGAATATTTTATTTGTTCCACATACTCGTACCAACCATCGTAGGACATCCTATGTATAACCATGCATGAACGTTTTTTTATAATTACAAACGAAACTTTATAAAATTATACGGTTTGTATCAAATTTCTTTTGGATTTTATTCTTTATAAAAAAAAGACTGTACAGAAAAATTTAACGCGTACTAAAATTACCTCTTACATCCAAGAACATAAAAAAATAAACTGACATGTTTTTAAGTATAAAATTATTATAAAAACGCTAATATCCCGAGTACCTCCTGTTGCTTTGTTTTGCTACACTGGAAGCGTATTCGTTGAATTATAATTTTTCTTTATAATTTTAATTATAATAATATAATATTGTTCACCTTTTGCTCCACAGCAAATGCGAATTCTAAATCTTATATATATCACTTTTAACAGTGAGTCAGTCCGAGTTAAATTTATTACATTTTCCATTTCCCCTTCTTACCATATTAACAATATATCATTGTTAACGTTATCTACAGCCCAAAACAATAACTTGTACCAATATTAAAAAAATACATAAATAATAATTTAACAAGCTAGCGCGACCAAATGTAAAAGTACGTGCTCTGCCAATGTGGGAGATACTTTTTCATTGGTTCCGCTATGAATTTAGCGAAAGGCACTGTAGTAGACAACGCAGTGAGAGCTGCATTTATTCTGTCACGGGTGCATTTGTCGTAAAATGGAGATCTTAATATATAAAGCAGCAAAGCTAGCTTCCGCTTATTCAGTTCTTCTTCTTCTTCTTTGCTGAACGATTCACGATTTGCTTTATCGTTAAATACGTTTAAACTGAAAGAGAAAATTGCATTGTACCCTGTTCCACTATATTACTTGAGTTTTTATTGTATTAATCAGTAATTTTATTTACCTAAGTAAATCAATAGCAAAGGACAACAACCACGGCGCCCACTGTTTCTCACCAGTGACGGATACGCATCCCAAATGGAATAATGGTTTCATAATATAAAGACTCTAAAAATATATTGATAGAAACAATAAAACATTCAACTTGATAACAATTCATGATTTACTATACAGCGTTATACATACCTCTGCTATAATGAATTTCTTTTCTGATACAGTGGAAGCATTTAGATTATCACTTTCACTGGGGACAGAAGGCAACCGTTCCCATGTTCGCGCCTGTAAAGAATTGGTGCCCCTTATACTTCTGACGATGGTGCCGGATCGCTTCAGCATGAATCCATTCTTCAATTTCTCTTCGTTAGATTTGATTAACATATCTCTGTTGAGCGGTTGTATCGGAGGACATTTCACCATGCGTTCTTTGTAGACGTGTATTACCAAGAGACGCAACACAGTCCTAACAATAAGTTACACGTATATACTATACAAATGTACTAATTTTTTGGCGATGTATATGAATATCATTGAAGGATTAGCGTAATATATATTGTATTTAAAATATTATCGACTCACTTGAATATTTGTATCGCTGTGATTACGAACCACCTGCCGCTGGGTCCCCACAATTTCTTAGCAGAGATTTCGAACAGTGTCTCTGTATACTCCACGACAGTCAGCCAAATTTTAAGCTTCGACTCGAATTGGGGAAACTTTAAATGCATGCATCTGCCGCTGTACATTAGCAAGTCGTTGAAGAGGACAACTAGGTTCGAGAATGAGTAGATAAACTCTGATGTAAACGTAGAATTGTTCAGGGAACCTGGAAAACAATTTTATTTAAAAATATGCGCAGGAGAAATGTAATATTGAGAAAGAATTGCTCTAACCAGCTGTAAAGTAAGACAAACACTGAACAGTTTTCTCTAAGTCTGCCAATAATTGTGGATTTTCTATGACCCATTTTTGATAGGGTTCGATGAGTTTTAAAACAGAAGAATTCACTTTGTCGAGCACCATTTTGATATTTTTGAACAATTTAAATGAAGTTGACAATCATCACTCGATCACTGTTAACCTTTGAAAAATCAACAGGTGATGTCTGGGGATATCTAGGGATGTCTAGTGATATAGATTTATTAGCGTTGTTTTCAATAAATTCTTCCATGTTAGGTTTCTGTAAGAGAAAAAGGACGTATATGTATTAAAAATTTATTATTTTATTTAAAATGATGCTACTTTTAGGAAAAATACGATTACGTTACGTTTATTGCACAGCCATAGAAATATAGTGTTACTAGATTTAGCTTCCATTCGCGCATGCGCGTTGAACGCGCGACCAATCAGAGCGCGAGTATGCCAATAGAGCGCCCGCGGTAGCGTATCAGCGCGGCCGTTTGGCGCGTTCTGACTCGTGCTCTGATTGGTCGACGTTTTCCCTTAATATCTCCTTAAGGAAGCCTCGGTCAACATTTTCGCTAAGGAAAAAGTTGTTTCAAATCACCCCCCGAACCGCCCCTTTCAGGACCTTCAACATTTTTGGGACACCTTGTATATGACGAAGACTCAATGTATTTCCAATTCTTTTATAATTTTATTATTTTTTAGGGCGACCAAGGGCGCCAGTTTTATAATCGTATTTGATACACTCCTGATGCAAAAGATAGTGCGCATGCTCAAACATCTCTCTTCGCGCCATATTTCTCGAAAGTGTCATTAAAATTTACATACAACTTTTATTATTTGTTTATTATCCGATCTCTATTTTTAGTTTCCTTGCAAACCATGAACAACGATGATTTAATTTCATCGAATGGCTGTACCGAAGAATTGAATAACAAAACGAAAGAAAAAAATGGAACGACTCACGTTGAAAGTGAAAAACCGCACGAGGAATACCAGTATTTAGATTTAATTAGGAAAATCATTAATGAAGGAGCGAACAGAAGTGACCGTACTGGCGTGGGCACGCTATCCCTTTTTGGAACTCAAATGCGTTTTAGTTTAAGAGACAGTAAGAACTTTCTCATAAACAATTCACACAATAATTTATATAATAATTAGTACCTGTTTTGTAAGGACTAATACGACTATTTCTGTATTCTTATACCCTGCATACTGATTTAATACGTCCAGAAAAATATATTCGATGTCCTCGTATAAATACAATGATAAACGATTAATATTATCTACCATTTTAGATACATTTCCATTAATAACTACCAAGCGGGTGTTTTGGAGAGGAGTTGTAGAAGAATTGTTATGGTTTATAAAGGGATCAGCGAATGCTAAAGAACTCTCAGAGAAAAATGTTCATATTTGGGATGCCAACAGCTCTCGCGCGTTCTTAGATTCTTGTGGCCTCACCGATAGAGAAGAAGGAGATTTAGGACCAGTTTATGGATTTCAGTGGAGACACTTTGGTGCAAAATACACAAACATGCACGCCGATTACAAAGGACAAGGTAAATCGTCGCGTGTTGTATCTGAAATTAACGATATCTTAATACATCTTTCATCTGTGCAGGCATCGATCAATTACAAGACGTAATACACCAAATAAAAAATTCTCCCGATAGCAGGAGAATAATAATGTCTGCGTGGAACCCAACCGACATTCCACAAATGGCCTTACCTCCTTGCCATTGTCTTGTACAATTCTATGTAAACAAAGACGAACTGTCCTGTCAGCTTTATCAAAGAAGCGCAGATATGGGTCTCGGAGTGCCATTCAACATAGCATCCTACTCTCTGTTGACTTGTATGTTGGCTCATATCACAAACTTAAAGGTGAGTCTCCACGAAAGTAGTCTGAATTTTTAACAGAAACTTGTATTTCCTCTTTTATTCTCAGCCTGGTGAATTTGTACATACAATGGGCGACTGTCACGTGTACCTTAATCATGTATCCGCGCTCAAGGAACAACTAAAACGCACACCGAAACCATTCCCACGTTTAAAGATAGTTAGGAACGTTCAGAACGTCGACGATTTCGTAGCGGAGGATTTTGAACTGCTTGGGTACGAACCGCATGGAAAACTCTCGATGGCGATGGCTGTTTAAGAGCAAGTTAAGACATTTAAGCAAACGTAGATTACGTCGACGCGTTATACGTTTTCTTTAACAAAAAACAAAAAACAAAAAAAAAAAGAATTTTTAACCATTGAGAAAGTAAGTATACCATTTGAATTGGCGAATTAATGAAATTCACTGTGTATTATAATTTCTAACTGTATCTATACTTTATTTCCTAATAAAAATTATGTTTTTAATAAACTCGTATCTTAGTAATTGTACGTGTATGTGTTTGTGTGTCGTGTGTGTATGTGTAGGATGTTCTACTACTGGTTTGAGAAATGTTGGGTGACTCTGTAAGCTGTAACACGATGTGAAATCATGAAAATTCCTGCAACACTCCCAGCGATTAATAACTTTGGAACTAAACCCTCAACATAATAATTTTTTTCCTGTGACCTGTGAACTTTCTCATTCCAGTAGCTTAACATCCTGTATATACGTATGCATATATGTATAATATACATATGTATACATATATGTACGTATATAGGTTCTCTCATTTTAACTTGGTCTTTGTAATAACTCGAAAACATGGAATTTTAGAAAAAAAAAAATGTTTCAGACAAAAGTTTTATGGTTCAGAGGGGACCAGAAATGATCAATTCGACTCTACTTGTAATATTTCTTCATGGCGGCCATTGTTTTTTAAATGGAAGTAGATTTTTTGGTTCAATGCAAATTGTAGCTGGTATCGAGATGAAGACAATGGTTCTTGTTTTTGTTTTTCATTCGGATCTGTTTTGTTATTTTTCAAATTCAATGTGTATGTGTGTGTGTGTGTGTAGCAGAAATAAGGATTCTGTTGCGTGTGTGTGACACGTGCACACAAATTGAATTTAAAAAATAACAAACTTTAAATCGCTGTAACACAGTCAAAAATAATCCAAATGAAAAAAAAAAGTCGACTTTGATTTTTGAAAAATGGGCGCTACGAACAAGTACCGTAAGTGGTGCCATCTATAATCGAATTGATAACTCCATCTTGTGGCCCTATTGGAAGCTAAAAAACTTTTGTTTCAAATGTTTCGTACTAAAACTCTGTTTTCGAGTTATCACGGTGTCCAAGTTAAAATGGGACAACATGCGTATATCTACGTATATGTATATATGTATATTTATATATTTATATTTCAATTTCTTTTTTTTCAGTACCGGTCTCGAATTAGTCCATACGTGTCCGTTACAGGCTTAAGTTACGCACAAATCATACAATCATAACTATTCCACCACGTTTCTAATCGTCGAGAGAGGAAGAAATACGTTTATCGACGTAACCGACAAGCATGGACGTTTAAAGGCCTTAAACAACTTTCAAATCTAACAAAATTACGTTATTTCTATACAGTTTTAAAATCCAGCACTTCCTTAAATCATGTAAACATCTGTTGGGAATTATCGTTTGTCTTGAATCGCTAGTGGAACGAATCGTTTCTATCATTTAAAGCGGTATACCTTAAAATGAATCCCTCCTGCTCGATGTAAAGTAACTGACAGCGTTTAAAACAAAAAAAAGAAAAAAAAAAATAGGACGAAATTTAGGGGAAGTCTCTGGATATTGGGGGCTAGCACATCTGTACATCGTTAGACTGTGAAGTACTTAATTGATGCAGTTGTTGAGTAACTGCCAGGGTGCCACATTCGCTAACAGTGATGATCACCCAAATGATGTCTAAAGAAAAAAATAAATCTGTAAGGAAAAGGTCTGCGATGTATAAAAGATGAGAAAGAGAATTGTACGTACCCCCAAAATAGGAACCCGTTGATGTCATCATTCTCCATTTACTCTGGTACACGCCGGTGACAGAGGGACTGGTAAGGTCCACGCTTATCTCAGTCGTTTCTTTGGGGCCTAAAGACGGAACCGGTACCCGCGTGCATTCTCCCATTTGCACCCCTCCTGTATGTTGCAGACAAATCTCAGCAGGCCATGCCTCTGTGCCACTGTTTTGTACGTGCCATGATTTTCGAAATTTAGTGTTAGGTGGCACCGATTCCCCTTCGCCTATAGTGCTGTCGCATATCAGGGCCATACAGGGGAACTTGAAGGGAGACTCGAAGTCAAAGTAACTACATATAGCTGCTTGAAGGTTCCTGCAATCGTTTGAGAATTATTTTCAAGAGGATCAGGTTCAGATCGGATAGTTACGTAGATAAAATAGATGTTTGCAGAAGAAACGTAGTGGTAGATATTCTCTTTGCAGGGACGAAGCTATTGGGTTGCCTTTGTTAGAAACTGACTAGGTTTATAGTAGGATCAATTTTCCTATCGATGCCAGTAATTTATTTGAATGATGGCAAAAGGGGCAAAAAGATTGAACAAATGACAGAAACTGAAGAAGAAGAACATAGCAGTCAGGAAAGCTCGACAAAAAAGAGACTCTTTCAAACTCTAATTCCATTGGAGTAAGCCAAGCGAAGATTCCAAAAAAGAGAAAGTAGGTTCCATATAATCTAGCCATGATTAGAATTGTTGCATCTCGATACTAGAGTTCTCCTCCAACCAGTGTGTCTGTTAAGCATAACATCTGCAAACTATGGCCTTAAACAATGCGATACGCCACGTTTAACAAATACTGTGCAACGTTGACAAGCCAGAAAAGTGGCTCGCTGAGTTACCTACGTCTCATTTATTCCTATGCTTGTCGAAAGCTGCTAAAATATTGAACAAACAAACACTTTAGTAAAATTCGTTATTTGTAGACCTAGCACAAGCTGTCATCCAGCAAAGGATCATACCACTACGTAAACATGGCGACGTTAGGGTTAGGTCAGAGGGAAACTCGTTGGTAGGAAGTGTTTACGATAAAGGTGATATCATACCAGTTGTTCATATCGAGGAAGAACGTAGCGGTGGCTTCGTTCAGCTGGCTGCCAGCCAGCAGCCTCTGCAGCTGCTTCACCAGATCGTCTTTATCGGTGGTGCCTAGACAGCTGAACTGGCGCAACAAATGCTGGTCCAAGTCGTTGTCCACATTCATGATGCGTCCTCGTTTCCGCGACCGTTCAGTGCCCCATGTAACGCAACTGTCAATCAAAGCACAGCCTCGTAAACACGTCCTCTGGATCGTCCCGATCTTTAACTGCAAATTTTAAATGTCATTCTTCGTGACGTTCATCCGTGCGCAGCGGGTGCATGCATCCATGGTACACTCCGCGCGAGAAGCACGCGAAACCCCGAGATCACTTATGTACAGTCCGTACAGTAGAGTACGGCACGGACGTAGCGCGGTATAGAGAAGGACAGGACGGTCCGACGAGACGAAGGACAGAGATATGGCAACGGTGCACCTCTCTTCGTCGCGCAACGCGCGATAGACGGGGAATAGGGTTAGGGCGGTGGGGACTACTCTCTTCAGTGCTGGTTCTAGCAATATTGGCGCTCTGGGCAATATTATGGGGTTACAATTTTTATGAGAAAAGGACTAGGCGGTTGGATTGTAAAAATTGTTAAACTACGTAGCATAGAAGAGACAACGAGAAAAGTAAGATAAATGTAAATTAAAATAAAATAAAAGTTATTCCATGTCGCGTATCGGTAGTACCGGTTTTAGCAATATTGGCGCCCTGGGCAGATTATCGTGGCGTGGGGTTACAATTTTCAAGAAATAGGGACAAAGTAATAATATCAAACTGTGTACAGGGTGTCCCAAAAATGTTGTAACACCTTGAAAGAGGTGATTCGGGAGGTGATTTGAAACAACTTTATCCTTAGCGAAAATCTTGTCCGAGACTTAGTTGAGGAGATATTAACGGAAAACGCTGACCAATCAGAGCGCGAGGCGGCCACGCTCCCCGACCAATCAGAGCGCAAGTATGCCAATGGAGCACCCGCGGTAGCGTATCAGCGCGGCCGCTTGGCGCGTTCTGACTCGCGCTCTGATTGGTCGGGGAGCGCGGCCGTCTCGCATTCTGATTGGTCGACGTTTTCTGTACTATCTCCTTAACTTCAAAGTTTGTGAATTTTATTTAAATTCTTTTCCTTTGATCTTTAACTTTCGGAATTAATATTTTTAGTTCTTTAGTGAGAGGCACTGGCATCCATATACAGGGTGTCTCATAAATGTTGGAGTTCCATGAATTTTAGAATTTTTCCAACGTTGATGGCGCACGCCCTTGAAAATTATTACCAAAAATCTTTCTTTTACTTTTAGGAGAGTAGGTTTTCACTTTACGGAAAAACTTTCTATACGATTTTCGTAGTGTTCCCTAAGATCTACAAGGAAAAAAAGTTTAAAAATATTCATTATTGAGGGAGTAGTTAGTAGGTTTCTTTTCGCTCCTCACCATCAACAGAGAACCCCTTCTAAACGTCACTGTGCGACAAGGACATATACACTCTCTCTACTCGCTCTCTTACTAATCTCGCCGGAAGCTTCTCTTATCGAGCACGCGCGTCTATCTCGCTGTACGTCTATGGTCGAATCCGAGCGTTTTCCGTTCCCTTTGTGACGCGTTGTCACCTTGACCTTGCGCGCGTCGCGGAGACCAAGTTTTTGCAGCTGATAAACTGATATGCACACGGGGGAGAGGAGAACGCTCGCAAAATCGATTAGTCCGCTTGCTTGCATTCCGTGCGTTTACCCAGCTCTTATCGAACAATATGTGCAGTTTTTCCAATGATTTATAGAGAAATATAATATTTAATATGAAGCTATGTTTTATAATTTTGATTTTGCTTTCTGTAGAAAGACTGACTCTTCTTCTGACTCTCCACATTTATTTGTATATAAAGATTCAATTTTGGAAACGATTGGAATTGTTTTAAATTGAATTGAAAATGTCTTATACCGAAAATTCATCGCTCCAATTAATACGAATGTTTTTTATATAAAAAAAAAAGGATAAATTCCTCTTTAATGTCAGTATCATTGTTAATGTTAGAGGTAATATTTCAAATATTCCCGCGCTTTATACTGATACCCTTTTCTTTCCTTCCTTACCGATTGATGGATAACGTAATTTAATATCAAAGAGAAATTAAAGAAGAGTTTCACCTATCGATATGTTATTTTTTTCACTTCTTTCCAAAAAGATCTCACAGTCTTGTTCAAAATGAAATAAAAGAATTCCCATGGAGCATAATAATTACTATCACTTTCTGTTCCAAGTAAAAATTATTTTTTGATATACAACAAATTCATTCCGACAGAAAGACAACTCCCAAATCCATCACGTTTACTGCTAAATTACTCTACGCTTTGACTACACGTCTACTTTAAAAGACGAAGACTTCGTGAAACTGAAGTCAACTAAAGTGAACGTGAGTGAACGCAATTCCACGAACTCCTCGTAACGAGAGTCACGTCCTTTCTTTTGTACCCTCTGGCGCGCTCTGCGCAGCTCTGCGCCATCCAAGCGTTTATATACGCCTCCGCAGGCGTTCCCGCGCATGCGCAGCTGTCATCCCCTCCGCTGCCGGGCGGCGCAGCAGCTGCGCGCGCAGCGCGCCGCGTAACACTTGAAATACGAATCAGAAGACAATCGCGCTCCGAAGTTGATTCGCGTAGATGTTCCCAAAACGTCGGGGTGATACCATTTACAAAGTTCGACCGCGCACGAAAGCATCAATCGGTGTCAATCGAGAACGTGTACGCGCCGCAGGTCGCGATGATGCATCACTGAACCGTGTTTTCGACCCGTTCACGTTACCCTTGCACACCGTCGCTAGTAATCAACGAGCACGATCCTCTTCTCCCGTGGAATAACGCGCACAGGCATCGATGAGATATACAAAATCCCTGGACGGTCGTTTTCTCGTCGACGGGAGGACTTCGTGATGAAAGTCGGGAGTAATTTCGAGACGATCTAGTCCACTTCGACAATCGCTGAATAATCTGAAACAAAGAAGAGAGAACCGAGGTGAGAAGCATTTCGTTACTCCAAAAAGCGATTGAGAGGGTGATTGAGAATTTGGAGCTGGTCTTTTACAACTTCTTGTTAGAGTAGAATTAACTTCTATGTTTAATACTTATCAAGTGTATTTGTAATTTATTAGGAGAATAGTAATAAGTGAAATTTGTGGAATATCATTGTGTAAGCATTGTACTTGCTACACCTAATAATTATCAACTATTTTCTTGATCTGTTAGAAGCACAACGATAAACAAAATTTCTGACCCGCCAAATCTCGTATATATTCATGTACATCAGGTTGATATACGAGTTACAGATTTAAAGTCATTCCAATGAACATTAGGTTGACTTGGAGTTACAAATGAGCGAATACAAAGGCACAGAATTGATATCTACACTTAATAATTATACCACAGTTGCGAAATAAATTAAAATCTTTAAGTATCCCAGCCTAGAGCTCTGCCCTACCTCTACTCTAGAATTCTTGATCCCCCGAAGCACCCAGAAACCCGTCTAAAACTGACCCACAGCAGGATGATCGGGCCATCCTCGGGTACCGGGGGAATCCCGGATCACGAGCTCTCCGAGAATCAGTCGCGCGCTGCCAGGAAGCGCATCTTCGACGACCTGGACATAGAGACCTTTTGCGAGGAGGTCCAGAACAGTCGAAAGCGGTACCAGTTCCAGGAGATGGAGACTCCGATCGAGCTGATCGCTTCCAACGAGATGATCGGCGACACAGCGGCGCTGTTCTCCTCCGTGGAGGAGTCCCCAGTGACTCGACTAGAGGTCCTCCTCGTGGACGGAACGAACTGCACCTGGACCACGGTCTCCGAGCTGGAGTCTCAGCAGAACATCGCTGAGATCGCGCCCTCGCCGTCCACGTCTTCCTCTTCGCCCGAGCACAGACGCGAGCAGGTGATCCAGGTGGAGGAGACTGGCTACCAGATCGAGCCCAGTTACTGGGAACCTGTGGTCACCATCCCCTCGACGAATTTGCAACAGAGCAAGTCTGCACCATCCTCTAGTAACCAGTATCAGCAGCAATTCGACGATCAGGAAACTGGCAACTTGTCCTGGCTGCTCGACTTCAAGCTGGACCCTTTCATCGAGGCTGCAGATGACAGATCCACATCATCCAATTACAATTACAATGGTGCGGAGGCAGATTTCACCTGTGTACTTCAAAGTTTTTTTTATGAAATTAGTCTTTGTAATCTAGTATTGCTTTTGTGGATGATTTTCTTTAATCTAATTACATAGATGCTTTAGTGTTAATCATCCTTCATTTCCATTTCATCTTCAAATTGGATTAGGCCTGGGTTAGGTCTACAAATTATAGTTTATACTTTTTCTCGGTTTCAATGTTAATTTCCCTTGACGCAAGGAAAAGGTTCCGCTTACTAGTGTTTCCTTTAACAATACACACCCTGATCGTCATCTACAAAATATTTCATATTATGCAATAGGATCTTTGTTATGGAAGCTTGTGTAATTGAATAGAATTTTAAGTTTACTTACTGGTTTTATGAATTTGGAGTCCAAAGGACTGTCTATGGTTGAGAAGGTTGTTGCGTGTTTGAATAATTGTTTCTTGTTTAGGAAGCAAGACGAAAGTAAACGGACGTTCTTACGGGTCCACCTACGTCAACGACGCCAAAAGGAGTTACAACGAGAACGGTTCCTTGCATCAGGACACCATCCAGAATTACCAGAGTCCCGATAAGAGAAACTTTGTGCCTTCCCGGTGCAATGGACCAAAGAAGCCACCTTTTACCTACACAGAACTCATTGAACATGCTCTTCGAGAGAGGGGAGAGCTCACAGTGTCAGCCATTTATCAGTGGATCTCGTAAGTTGTATTTTAAATAGCTTTATACCAACGATCTCGTTTACATTATCAAAATTTGTTGATGAGTCTCGCGCTTTTAATTTGCGTTACTCTGTAGGATCATCTTTATCACTGATATTACTTTGTATGGGCAATTTTCAGCTTAGATATTTAATTTTTTAATTACAAAGATAGATTTCAATCAAATCTAAATCTTAAATCTCGGTTTCAAGAAGAATTCTTAAGCCTTAAGAAGTATCTTTATTTTAAGCATCATTAAAATCCAATCAGGAGGATTACTTACAGTCAATCTCATAAGTATTCCTACCTTCTATGTCTATAGAAGAAATTTGTATTTCTTCGATAAACATAGAGAGTATGAATAGTTATGGGACTCATCGTCAAAGTATTTCAGACAAATAATCAATCTACTGCTTCCGTTACTATTCATTATTATTCATAGCAATCCAAGAATAACTGTGCTAAGGTGTAATGGAAAACCATAACACCACTGTAATTTTCCATCGTTTATGGGAATTAATGGGGTATTCTCCTTCGTTGAGATATATGATATAAATTAATTGAAATTGTTTGGCCTTAAAAGAAAAAAATAAATCCATTCGCGAGGACGTTCAGAGACAGAAAATCGGTGAAAAGGAGTTCAGGGGCTCGATTATCTATATCGTGAAGCCACGATCGAACAGGTGAAAGCACAGGAGCCAGTAAATTGTGCGCATTAGTATTGGAGGGGTGGTTGCAACGACGAGGAGAGCTGGTACCAGGTCGTACCACGTTGCGAGGGCAGCGGTGCCAAGGGGTACCATCTAAGAACCTTTCTGACCCTCCCTGACGAGCCACCCCCGCATCGGGGCGAGCCACGTTCTCGTAAATTCATATAAACCCGTTTCCTAGATTTGCTGGTGAATGGTAGCTGTATATACTCATGCATCTGAAACATAAACCCTGAATGTAAAACTGCATTTCACAAGCTTGGGAGTCTGGTACGATACAGTTAGTTGAACCAAATGTTTATCAGCGTTCCATGGAAAGTATTTTTCCAGTCCTTC